GCCTTTAACCATATGAGTGGCCCTTCTCTGGACCCTCTCCAGGTTATCTGCATCCCTCTTGAAGTGCGGCGCCCAGAATTGCACGCAGTACTCCAACTGCGGTCTGACCAGCGCCCGATAGAGGGGAAGTATCACCTCCTTGAACCTATTCGTCATGCATCTGCTGATGCACGATAAAGTGCCATTGGCTTTTTTGATGGCTTCGTCACACTGCCAACTCATGTTCATCTTGGAGTCCACTAGGACTCCAAGATCCCTTTCCACTTCTGTGCCACCCAGCAGGTCATTCCCTAGGCTGTAGGTGTGCTGGACATTTTTCCTCCCTAGGTGGAGCACTTTGCATTTCTCCTTGTTGAACTGCATTCTGTTGTTTTCTGCCCACTTGTCCAACCTGTCCAGATCTGCTTGCAGCTGTTCCCTGCCCTCCGGCGTGTCCACATCTCCCCATAGCTTTGTGTCATCCGCAAACTTGGACAGAGTACACTTCACTCCCTCGTCCAAGTCACTGATGAAGACATTAAAGAGTATCGGTCCAAGGACTGAACCCTGTGGGACCCCACTTCCCACACCCTTCCAGGTCGAAACCGACCCATCCACCACGACTCTCTGGGTGCGACCCTCTAGCCAATTCGCCACCCACCGGACTGTGTAGTCATCCAAGTCGCAGCCTCTTAACTTGTTCACCAGTATGGGGTGGGATACTGTATCGAAGGCCTTCCTGAAGTCTAAGTATACGACATCCACCCCTCCTCCTGTGTCCAGGCGTTTCGTAACCTGGTCATAAAAAGAAACTAGATTGGTCAGGCATGATCTGCCTGGAGACAGTGTGCATGCCATGCAGCTGCCATCATGGCTGCCACTTGTCTCTGGCTCATAAAACTGAAGGGGTGGAGGCTTGTATTAGCTATTGGCTGAGGACTGTAGCTCATACCTGGAACAGCAAGTTCGCTATTAGTAGTATCTTAATGAGGCTTGTGATGCGGACCAACACTTTATTTACAGGAAAGTATATAAAGAACTACTTAAAATAAAGACCTGACAATTTTGCTACTGCCCTTTGCCAAGGTCTGAGGACTAACTGTGAGACAAAAAGTAAGTTGTCCTGGGACATAAAGTGCCCAGAAAGTGTAACATTGCAGGAAATAGTCAGCCAGACCAGGAAGTTCCTGGGGCCACATATTTGAAACACTGTGTTTCCAAGAGAACAGAGTCTATGTCACAGTTAACTGTGACTGGAAAAAGAAATTTTTTCTACATTCTGCCTTCCAAAAGCAAAGGGTGTGTTGTATGTAAGAAAATATAGTAATAGCTGCTCATTAGATAAATAGAGGACTATCATGTCCTGGTTTATCATTCAGAAACTTTCATGAGCACATACACAGACTTTTTTTGGAGAAAAAAAAGAGATAAAGAGAAAAAGGATGTAATTATTGAGTGGTCCACATGGAGATAGCATTACCAATCCGAAGGGGAGGGGAGTTCAGGATGAGTGGTTGCTCCTCAAGGGGGTGATCCTGGAAGCAAAAGCAATGTCTGTTCCGTCTTGGAGGAAAGGCAGCAAAAGGGCACAGCTGCCCCCTTGGCTTTGCAGGGAACTAGTGGACTTCCTGCCTCTTAAAAAAGAAAGACCTACAAAGGATGGAAGACCGGATCCACCTCAAAGGAGGAGTATTTTGCAGTGGTTTGGACCTGCAGGTAGCGAACCAGGAAAGCCAAGGCTGTGAATGAACTCCAACTGGCTACATGCATCAAGGATAATAAAAAGCCCTTTTTTAGGTATGTGGGGAACTGGAGGAAAATCAAGGGTAACATTGGATCCCTGCAAAACCAGGTGGGACAACTGACAACCAATGCCCAGGAAAAAGCCAACCTGCTTAATGGGTATTTTGCATCCGTTTTTCACCAGTCCCAGGGGACGGCCCTGCTCAATACAGTAGAGGACGGTCAGGGTGAGGGAGAATTGTTACCCTTCATCAATGTAGACCATGTGAAGGAACACCTTGAGAGGCTGGACACCTTCAAGTCAGCTGGCCCAGACAGTTTACACCCCAGGGTACTTAAGGAGCTGGCAAGCATCATAGCTCAGCCACTGGCATGGATCTTTGAGAACTCATGGTGCTTAGGTGAAGTGCCTGAAGATTGGAAGAAGGCCTCCTATGACCAGATGACTTATCACCTTGATAAGGGAGAGGAGATTGATGTCATATATCTTGATTTTAAAAAAGCTTTCAAGCTGGTATCCCATGATCATCTCATAGAAGAACTGGCCAACTGCGGCCTTGGCTACATCGAAGTCTGCTGGCTGGGGAATTGGCTCTGTGGTCGGATCCAGGGAGTGGTAGTTGATAGAAGTCAATCATTGTGGTGTGCCGTGACCAGTGGGGTCCTCTAAGGCTCCGTCCTTGGGCCTATGCTCTTTAACATCTTTATTAATGATGTGGACATTGATATCAGAAGCAGATTGGCCAAGTAATAGAAGTGGAATGACCAGAAGCGGACTGGCCAAGAGCCCTTTGTAGATTGTTCCCATGGTTAAATATACTCATTATTAAATCTTTCAGCTACTGGATCTGGCTTTACTTTTGTCAAAAAGATTGCAAAACTATTATCATTTTTTGTTATTTCCCAAATCAATAGAGTCATCTTGAATCTTCTGTTTGATAAGATTGAATCTGTCAGTATTAAAAATATTTTCTAATCTTTGAAACGTTCTTTGTCTCTCCTCTGAACCTTCTCCAATTTTTCAGAATTCTTCTTGAATTGTGGACACCAGAAGTGGTTTAGTATCCTAGTAGCAGTTGCAGAAATACCCAATGATTACATTCACTTAACAAATGTAATCAGGGGTTCTTGTTACTTGCAGCTAAGCAACCATTAATTTTAAGTTCTGTAGTCAATTCTTTAATTACAAAAGTCATTTGTAATGTGGAGTTTTATGTGCTTGAGGCAGCACTTTTTAAATTAAAGAACCATGGTGTTTAATTTATAGAAATTCCAAGGATGCTTTAAGACTGGAAAAATGAAATATTCAGCATATGACACTCAGACTGTAGTGTCCCATGATAAAACTAGATTTTCTTTCCTATGCATTACAGACAACTAGTGAAGAAACTGGTCATCTTGTTCTCTAATGTGATTTGGTTTCTGTAGCAGACACAGACTAGCATCACATTATGTGCTTTATCTGTTAAACATCTTTGGCTCTTAAATTTGGAGGAAAGGAGTCAACATGCAAGTGAAGTGCTCAACCCAGAGCCATATAGAGAAAGCCTGCTACCTCTCTGCTCTGACATATTTTATTAACTTATAACTTCTAAATTCACAC